CACATTAACCAGAAATAAAAGCTTGTGATGGGTATAAAATATAAATACTGCACCTGATCTGTCTCAAATAGAGAAGCTAAAGAATTAATCTGTTCCTTGCTGACATTGAAATGTTTAAGCAAGATTTCAACTTTTTCTTCATTGAAAGGTGGAGTCTTAACAACCCAACTTTTTCCACTGAAACTGGACAAAAGCATGGCAAACGCAACAATAACCGACACAATCCACAAAAAGATTAGCTGTCTCTTCAATTTCCAGCCATGGGCTGCTCCAGGCAAAGCCTCGCTAGCCTTTTTCAGTCCGAAATGCAGAAAAAAGCTACACTTTAAGCCAGAGAGCTTGCGATTGAGAGGCATATTGACCGATACCCACCTACATAGCTTCAAGGAGAGATTAGAGCCTGAAAGCAACCCCATATGCAGCTGAGGAAATCATCCAAATCGGTCAGACCTGCCACTCCAAAGCCGCCAAGAAACAACTTGCAATGCACCAAAACTGGGTGAATTTATTGTAGAACTTCACAAATTTCAACTAAAAGCTAAAAATTTGTTTAAAGCTACTGAATCTTCTAGCTAACTACAGCTTGGGAAACTCCTCAAATAAGGCCTTTCTTGAAAAAAAAAAAAAAAAAAAACAGAGACCTCTGGGCCGGCAAGACCAAGTAAAAGTGCAAAACCTGCTGCAGATTCATCATCAATTAGCTGTCCCCAATCTTTAAAGCCTCCACAGCCTTAATTTTGTGTTACAGTTTCATTTTTGTGTTATTATCTGTTCCCCGACAAAAGATACAGCAAAATCCTATCAAGACCAACCAGTTTTGGAGAAGAATAGGAGAAGGACAATGATGCCAAAGCAGAAGCTGGTGCACAGTCAGATATTACTTTGCTAAACTGACTGAAATGATTGAATGGAAAAGAAAAAATCTTCCTTTATTTTGTTTTTCCTTTTAACTATAACAACCTTCACTCTTATATCAGGAATAATTTGTGGGGACAGAGTAAAAAGGCAGAAAACTATGAAAAGCATCAGGACTAAAGCTTTTTCCAATGAAAACTCGTTATCGAACTTGGACGAAGCCAAGTTGGTTTCTCAGCAGAACCAATTATCAGATTGTGGGATGTAAATGGCTGCTTTTATCTTCCCACTTTAACCCGTCCCTCTTTAACCCCTGTCCGTCTCTCTCTCCCGGTGTCTGTCTTTCTTGTTTGGTGCGGGCATATGCTGTTGAGCTTGGGGACATCATTGTCTCAATCATCTGGTGGGGAAGCCTGGGGGAAAGGATTGAGCAAAGAATACAAAGGTTCCCTTCACGGTAAAGCATACCAGTAGTAGACTTAGAACAACACCCATACGTCATATAATATAAATACCTAATTCGTACGGACAGCTATTATTAAAACATATCTTTAATTTTGGTTGTGGAAATGAAAAGGTTTCACTCACATTTGTAAAAGGAGATGTTGCTGCGGTATGTTTAGATGTCAAAACAAAGGTGTGAAAAGTTAAGAGAAAAGACATTCAAGCATTTTGGGCCACAAACGCTAGGGAAGTGTGTTGGCCGGGCACGTGGAAAGGACTTTTGTGATGTGCAACCGGAAGATCTATTGGGCGTTGAAGGGGACTCCAGCCGCGCATGTGAAATGTGGAGGGGCGAAATTAAGCAACCGGGAAAATGAGAGTTTGTACGCGAAAGTACGGCAGGAAAAAAGGCGCGAAGCTTACTAGATAAGCTAAACAGTGTAGGCTGTGACAGCCCCACCTCTCCCTAGGGTATCAGCGGACTGTCTGCCCAACTCTTGTCGGGACTCAGTCGATCAAAGAACTAGCAACTCAAAATAACTGGGAAAAATAGCATCAAATTAAATCGTACGACCCTAATAACACATAACTATCAATCAACTTTCAAAACTTAATACGGCAAGCTAAGAGTCACACTTACCATTCCATACTACGAATTACATAAGTCAACTTATAGATTCAAGCTTACAAAAGTAAAAGTAAAGTCATCTTAACAAAAGTTACAAGTTCAAGCAAAACAAAGCTAAGAAAGCTCTTGACCGTTAGTCCATCCCGATCTGTTAAGGAAAACAAAGGGAGTGGGTTGAGCTAAAGCTCAGTGAGGTTCCAAGTAAAGCAAGTAAACACATAGCCAAATTAAGGCATAGAATAATTCAAATAAATACCGTATGATACAATAACAATTAACCACAATTCAATTCAAGGATACGGGTGGCTTTCAAAAGCCAAAATCCCCTTGAGCTTGATCATAAATGTCTCCGTTGACACTCCGTCAACACTTGTATACACAGAATATTAAGTCCGTAGAACACCACTTTCACCTGCCTCCGTCCACCAATCAACCCCCACACGGACCCGCGCACTTCATAAACAGTAGTTAGGTAATACTCGAGTATACCGGTTTCAGTGAACAGTAAACAGTCCTCAAGGTTTATCGGCCTTCTCGACCAAGCCCTGGCCGACTCGATAGAACCAACTCACCTATGAGGTTGGGCACCCAAACAGTAGTAGTAGTTGATGGGATATCACCCAAACAACTCAAGCACAGTCACATATAGAGAATTCACATTTCACAATAACAATATACAGGGCCTCAGTGGAAATAAAGGAGGACGAGTGCGATAAAGTACACGATCGCCTCCACTTTTATCAAATTAGGGTTTGGCTCAAACAGTCGTAAATCAAATATTCAGGTATTTCACATAAGCAGGTAGCAGGTAGTGGAACACTCACCTGTCAATCAAAAGTAGCGATCGATGTCAATCGTCTTAGTAATGGTCACCTTCGTTTCCCAAACCTAGAGCAACGAGTGAAATCGTTAACACTTAGATTCATGTCCCACTAGGTTAGGCTCAATAAGAGACCAAGTGAGTAGTCTAAGCTACTTAATCCATCATGCAAACAAGGCCCAATCCATGGTAAAAGTTAATGAGAAAACAAGTTTAATAGATGCATGAAAGTTCGGCAAAAGAAAAGTTCCAATCGGGCTTAAGGGTTTCTTCTCGGGTTGCACAGTCTTGCCCTGGCAGTCTTAGGAAAATGGTCATAACTCATTGTAGAAAAGTCAAAATTAGGTGCCGTCAGTGGCGTTGGAAACTAGACTCGAAGGGCTTTCCAACGGTACCAAGGTCACACTGTGGTTCGTCTCCTATCAGCAACAGTAACTCAGACAAGGTGGCTGTTTTTCCAACCCTGGATCAGCATTAACCGTAAGCTAAACTATTCTAGTTCTAGGGCTAACTTCATTAGTTTTACTCCAAATTCACCCAATTCACTCCTCAAGTGATCATATACAAGGATTCAAGTCACTTAGCATCAATGGAGTTCACAACATAACATACAACATTATTTAAGGTAATCATAATGATCTCATAACTACAAGAGTCCTAAACAGTCTACTAATGGTTCAAAAGCACCACTTTACTTGCTTCAATTTCATTCCAACATGCTTATAGGCCTAACCAATAGTTAACCTAGTTTATTAGGCTTGATTAGGACATAATTTAACAACAATATTGAGGGAAAATCCCTCCTACAAGAACCAGCCAGCCAAGACAAGCAACCAGCCCACACTTTTCAACATTTGTTCAATCCTTCATCCTTACATGTTTTTCACCCAAATCTTCATATCAAGTAATAGATTCAACTCAAAAGAGATTTAAACATAATAATACCTCATAAACAAACATGAATAAGAATCAAACATTTCATCAAACACTTGGTGTACATACTAAGAAACCTAGCTACTACTTGTTTACTTCAAGAAACTAACTCAACATCTCAACCAAACAACTTGTATCCTTGCTATTAACACTTTCAAGTGCATGATCTATCATCAAAAACCAAGATTTAAAGAACATATACCTCTCTTATAGTGAGCTTGAATCACCAAAATCACTTCACCAAAGTAAGTCTTCAAGCTTGGATCAAACACTTGGAGTTGTAGGAACTCTCTCACTAATTCAGATTTTTCTCTCTTGATTGTTGTTCTTGGTTTGCTAGAGTAAGAAAACAAGATTATGTAGCTCACTCTTTCTCTCTCTCTTGAACCAGAAATTCGGCCAGCACTCAAGAAAAAAAGGAAGGCTTTGGCTAGTTTATATAGTCTTCTAATCTTGGTTCCAACAAGATACTTGGCCAGGATTTTGCCACATGTCCACTTACTTGTCCAATTCTTTCTTAATCTTTGACTAATGGTGTCTTAATCTTTCCAAATGCACCAATCATTCTTTAACACCTCTAACTAATCTTTCCAAATGCACCAATAATATTTTAACACCTCTAACTAACCTTTCCAAATGCACCAATAATACTTAAACACTTCTAACTAACCTTTCCAAATGCACCAATAATACTTTAACACTTCTAACTAGCCTTTCCAAGTGCACCAATCCTTAATTAGCACCTATAATCCTACAAGTAAGATTTCTACCACTAATATAAAGACACTTGGTAAAATGTAAGTGGTGTATAATTAAAATCAACTCAAGAAAATTGTTTTACTACAAGTAAAAAGGAATGAAGTGTAATGCATGAAAATTATTGTAACACCTAGAAAAGCTAATGTAATGGCATATAATATATGATTTAAATCCTAGAATAAGGCAATTAATTTGGGGAAATTGTGCTTTAAAAATAAGGGTTCTCACACTCTCTCCCCCTTAAAGAATTTCGTCCTCGAAATTCTCACCTTGATCATTGAATAGCTTAGGGTATTTGGCGCGAATGTCCTCTTCCACTTCCCAAGTAGCTTCCTCCACCTCATGGTTTCTCCACAAGACCTTTACCAAGGGTATTTGCTTAGTCCTCAATTCCTTCACTTTTCGATCTAAGATTTGCACTGGTCTTTCCTCGTAGGTTAGAGATTCATCAATGTCAATTTCCTCTGGTTTCAGTATATGAGTGGGATCTGGATGGTACTTTTTCAACATGGACACGTGAAATACATCATGAACCTTGGATAGACCTGTTGGTAACTCCAATCAATATGCCACGTTTCCAACTCGTTGAAGGATTTTGAAGGGTCCTACGTATCTTGGATGAAGCTTCTTTCCTTTTCCTGCCGTGAGACTTCGAAGTGGCGTAACCTTCAAGAATACCTTGTCCCCAACCTCAAACTCCAAGTCCTTTCGTCGATTATCAGCGTAACTCTTTTGTCGACTTTGCGCTGTCTGAAGCCTCTGACGTATCACTTTCACTTTCTCATACGCATCCTCGATCCATGGTACTGCAACTGGGTCTAAAACTCTTCTCTCTCCTACTTCATCCCAAAATATTGGTGATCGTACTTTCTTCCATAGAGAGCTTCATACGGTGCCATTTGTATTGAAGAATGGTAACTATTATTGTATGCAAATTCAACCAGAGCCATGTATTGTCTCCAACTTCCACCAAAATCTAGAATACAGGTCCTCAACATATCTTCAAGTGTTTGAATGGTTCTCTCTCGATTGTCCATCAGTTTGGGGATGATAGGTAGTACTAATATTCAGCTTGGTCCCTAAAGTTCCTTGTAATTGTTGCCAAAAACGAGACACAAATCGTGGGTCTCTATCAGACACAATGCTTACAGGGATCCCATGTAACCTCACTATCTCATCCATGTAAAGTTGGGTCAATTTCTCCATAGAATATTTCATATTATGGGTAAGAAATGAGCAGACTTGGTCAACCTGTCTACTATTACCCAAACGGCGTCGTGACCTTTCTGGGTACGGGGTAATCCTGATACAAAATCCATAGTAATATGTTCCCATTTCCACTCAGGGATCTCCAGAGGTTGCAGAAGACCTGAAGGCTTTTGATGCTCAACTTTCACTTGTTGGCACACCAAACATTTTTGGACAAACTGAGCAATTTCTTTCTTCATCTTATCCCACCAATACAACCTTTTCAAATCTTGGTACATTTTATTACTTCCAGGATGTACTGTATACTTGGACCGATGTGCCTCTTCCAAAATATCCCTTTTTATCACCTCATCTTGTGGTACCACTATTCGATCTTGAAATTTCAAGATACCTTCAAAGCTTATGTTAAAGTCTTGTAACTCCTTTTTTTGTACTTCTCCTATCCACTTTTGCACCATCCGGTCATTCCTTTGAGCTTCTTTAATGCGGTCCAACAATCCAGATCTTACTGTAATATTGCCGAAAATTACCCTCTGTCGGTCTAATCGCGGGTTCCATTCACTCACTTCCTCCAGCAAATTCCATTCCGTAGCCATCAATCCAGCTATTTGCACTTGTCGGCTTAAAGCGTCCGCTACAACATTAGCCTTGCCTGGGTGATAGTTAATTGTACAGTCATAATCCTCAAGAAATTCCACCCACCGACGCTGTCTCAAGTTTAACTCCTTTTGAGAGAATAGGTATTTCAAACTCTTATGGTCGGTATACACCTCAAAAGTCACTCCATACAAGTAATGCCTCCACTTCTTTAATGCAAAAACTACAGCGGCCAATTCTAAATCATGAGTGGGGTAATTTCGCTCGTGGGATTTTAACTTCCTAGAGGCATAGGCAATTACACTCCCATTTTGCATTAGAACACATCCCAAACCTTCCCTTGAGGCATCCGTATATACAGTAAAACTATCTCTCCCATTTGATAAAGCTAAAACAGGTGCCGACGTTAACCGTTTCTTCAACTCCCGAAAACTAGATTCACACTTAGAATTCCAGACAAATTGACCATGCTTCTTGGTCAAGTCGGTTAAAGGACGGCGGAAACAATGGTAGTATCACTGATGCATGAGAGTGGAACACTTTCGAATTATAAAAGTTGCAGCAGTGAAAGGAAGGCCATTCGTCGAACGGCGGAAACAATGGTAAGCCACTCAACTCATTCTGTGAAGAATATGGTGGATTGGATCTCGGATGAGCAGCGGCAAGCTGTCAGAGAGTTTGGATTCGGGTCAATTTTGAATGTGAAGGGAGTAGAGGTTAACGAAAAGATGTTGAAGTGGCTAGTGGATAACTTTGATATAGATCGGAGGACACTGAACGTTCATGGGTACTGTCTACAGGTGATAGCCGAGGATGTGGAATGTGTACTTGGTTTGAGCAGCCGTGGGAAAGATATTGAAAGCGAAAAGCGAAGGCAAGAGATGGATACAGAGTTGGAAAGAGAATTCAATATCAGAATAAATAGCGGTGAAATTGTAGTGGAGGAATTGAGGCACAGTATATGTAGTTTGCATAACGAAGGCTTAGAATTCAAAGTGAAGTTCGTACTGTTTGTTGTTGGTAGGTTGTTAGCACCAAGTTTGGATAACACAATGAGCCGGGCTCTGGTGGCTGTAGTGGCTACAGAGAATATGGAAAATTTGAACTGGTCGAAATTCATACTTGACAATTTGGTGAAGAGCATCCGTGATAGAGAATGGCAACGGAATAGCGGGATGTGCACTTTTCTTGATGGTATAAGAAAGACGCACCATTTTGTATTAGAGATAGGAATTGCTGGAATAATGAAATTAAACTTTGATAGAAAAAACCAGTAAATGATGGTAGGCGTTTTTGTCCATGCAGATTTACTATCTGGAATGATTCTATATCGAGGGTGAGGACGAGTTTCGTAAGTTTCAGCCGAGAGGGCCGAGGCTAAGATTTTGGGGAAGGTACGAGATTAATGAAAGCGTGCGAATATTGAGGAGGAATCACATATTTGAGGGGGAACAGGTAATGTAAAATCCTTTCGTGTGAATTGTTGTTGAAATTGCAATCTACATTTTGTGACGTTACTAGTAGTACAAAACTGAAGGCTTGTAGTGACAGGGCAATGTGCAGTTTTACAATAACATAAGCTGTAGAGAAGACATTGATAGAAGACTGATTGAAATTGAATGTGGTAATAAAGATGTGAAGGATAGTATTGGTAGAATGGAAGCAATGATTGAATGTCGTTTTGAAAGGCTGAGGAGCATATATAAAAGTGGAAGGGTGTGCAAAACAAACCGGGCACTTGGTGTGGAGGGTGGGCAGAAGGACGATTGGCGTGGTAATGTTAAAAGAGGGAGTGAGTTACATAAATTTAGTCCTACAACGCTAGATGTTAGGTCCAAAAACAGGAGTGAAAATGATAGAGTCAGTACGAATAGTACTATAATGGGTGGAAAGAGTGCATCGAAAATTACAAAGTGGAGAACTACAAAGAGACTAAGGATGGACAATACGGAGAAGCCCGTGGGGGAAGACAAACAAAACAGAAGGCAAGGTAAAAGAATAAAGGTATGCATCGGTTTGTGCCAAGGTATTTCTAGCATTAGAAAAGTAAAGTATAAATTGTAGTTTTATGTACAGATAGATAGCAGTGTGATGAACAAGTGTCAAACGAAAATGGTTGCTTTATTGGCAAAGGTGAGTATTCCAACATTCTAGAATTACTAAAGTATGGGAAATTATAGACAATGAAAGATGACATATTTTTGTGGTAGCAGGAAACGAGGCTGGCATCTATCGGCGAAAAATTGAATGAGGGACGAGCAAAAATACTAAAGTTCTTGTTTGACACTCAGCTGTCGCAAGGGTATGTACTGGATCATGGATTTGTTAAATCAACAGTTCTATTTTGTTTTATCCTTTATTTGAAATTGCAATAGGAAAGGGGACAGAAAAGTATTTGCAATTATAAGGTTGACTAAATATATAGTATGATTATCCCTATAGGGGAGAGGGCATAGGAACGAAAATCTTGGAAGCAGTTAAAATTGGTTTACAAGTGAGCATAAAACTTACAATTTGTGTGCTGTCAATCATGCCACCTTATATAAAAAGCAAGGATAGGTAACATGCTTGCATATAGAATAAAAGGTGAGTATTCCAGAAGTTTGAGAATGGAACTACAATGATAACTCAATGACCCTTATGATAAGTACATAACCGCCTTAGACTAACTCAATGACCCTAAGGACCGATTGAGTCATTGAAACCGTGATTGCTGGTTGTATTAGTGAGGAAGAGCGAACCTACTCTGGCCGTTTTAACTCGAGTCATTGAAAATGATGATATCAAGTTTGTAGATTATGAAACTGTAATACACATAGGGAAAAGATTAATGTACGCTGTTGTAATGACAGGGAAGTACTGGTGTCAATTAAGGGGCAGACAGCAAGTCGGGATGCAATGGGGTCCTTGCTTCCTGAAAAACCCATGGCATGTGATGTTAGTAAATCGAGGGATTGAAATTGGGTGGTGTTGTGTGGCATGTTTCATGGAGGACGAAGTGATGTGACTTGAGTTTGGTGTAGATAATCAATTGCTATTGTGCGATGAAAACAGCAAGGCAGCAAAGGCGTGCTGTAGATCAGTCAATGCGATGGTGGTTCATGCCAACTTGGTTTCAGGTACAAGTGTTCGGCCAAAGTTGGGGGGTGTGAGTACGTACATTCATATTAAAATATCATATTTTACTGTCGTGTTGTAGCAAGAGATTTTGGAGTTTAACAAATCAGCAGACGAGCTGTACTGTACATATCTACAAGAATGTAAAGTAGGAGGTAATATAAAAAAGTGTGAGAAGGTACGAGAAGCTGCCCTGTTATGTAGCATAATGGAATAGATACAGATTCCCATGATGATGACTAACTAACCGCTGCTATGCTTCAGATATTCGTGCCAATGTGGCATGATGAGCATTGGTATATGTGTGTGGTGGACATGGGAAGCGAAGAAGTATTAATTTATGATTCAATGAGAGGAGACGAGCAAACGGATATGAATAGGCGCAGCTCCGTGGAGACAATGGTAAACTAAGTTGGTTTGTCAAACATTTCATGAACACGACCATCACCTTTACAATTGGTGGCAGTAAACTTAAAATTGCATATGTTTTTCTTGTATGGCCCTCAGATTGAAGGGTTGGAAGCAGCGCTGACTTATGGTTTGGAGGGGCAGTATTCGTCATGCCTTTGGCTGTACAAAATAAAAGCTGCAGCCACATGTCCACAGCAACGGAATGCGTAAGTTGCATGTGCATAGGTTTGGAAGTTTTTTCCATAGTTCAACAACGGTTGTCTAAATATGTGGTTATGGTTTGTAATGCAGGTGGGATTGTGGGTTATTCATGCTGACGTACATGGATATGTTATCAAGTGGAATTGGAAGCTGGAAATGGAATCAGGTAAGGAAAAAGGAATGGCGTCGTATGCTGTAACAGTAAGTGTGTTTGCTTGCATTGGTTGCGAACGATGGAGATAGTAACAAATTTATCGGTGCAGTACAATTCGGAGCAGGAGCGGCGCAAAGTAGCACTGTCTTTGGTTCTGGATGATGCCAACGTTGTCCGTCATCAAATTATGCGGAAAGCAAACACGCACAGGAGGTTGGAGATGAATAAAGTTGAGGTTCGATGAAGGTGGCAAGATAGAGAGATAAAGTAGCGGCATTTTGTGGAAAGGACCATGTAATAGGGGCTGTCATAGTCGGATGGACGTCGTCGTAGCCTAAAATGTAGAAGACGGAGACAGAGAGTCCAAAGCTGCCATAGTAAGGAAAGCGGTTGGTGTTCTATGAGTTTCATTAGAGAAAGGAAAGCAAAGTTCAACCGAGCAAACTCGCCGGCGGTGGTGCGGGAAGACCTTGCCATGGGGATAACGAGTACCACAATCTTCATGTGGTCAAGAGTTAAGAGAAGATTTTGTGGTTGGTTATGACTAGTGTACAGTGATCCATGTATGCAGTCATTAGAAATAAATGAAAAAAGATTGAAATATTTGATTTGTGGTAATTATTCTTTAACGCGTTTAAATTTATGTATCTCAAGAGTTTATGAATTAGGTGTCTTGACGTATCCGAAACAATTTGTCTAACACGGAGTTTTAAAACCTGCAATAGGTTAGTTTCTTGCTTTGCATTCTATACTAAGGGGTAAATGGCACTCAAGTATAATATCGATCCGATTTTATCGAACAAATAAAGTAGCCATACATAGCTGGTGTTTTATTGGCAAACCGTGTTTCAATTAAATTGGGAAAAAATGCCGGTTTTCATCTCCAAATTTTGGGGGTAAGGACACATTTCGTCCCTCAACTTTTGGGCACGACACATTTGATATCTGAATTAATAATTTTTTACCAATGTCATCCTCAAATGGCAATTTAGTCAAATTTTAAACGAAACTGGTCACGTGAAAATCACATGACCGTTAAGTGAATTTAAATCACATTTTAACAAAACCTGCCAGTTTCCTGCATGCAATCAGTCAACTTTTGGCAATTTTGACTAAGCATCCATCAATAAACACTTGTGTCCCTACGTAAAGGGGGAAAAAAGCTAAAAATAAGGATAAAATGAAAAAATAGGTAAGAAAAGAAATAATCAGCATGAAAAATGAAAAGGGATAATTTCACAAAACATCCCTTGAGATTTTTAATAGTTACAAAAAGCTCCCTCAAAATTTAAAAAATTACATATACATTGCATACTTTTACTATTTATATAAGAGCAAATATTTAGCAGCCATTGAACTATTTGAATAGTAAAATCTGGCCTTCAATTATTCATAACATATTTTTACCCATTGAACTATTAAAAGTATAACTTT